GAACATTTTTAAGATTATATCACATACTGAGTTAACATCAGCCCTCAACAAGTATAAAAAGATTGAGACCATACCATGCATATTTTTGGATCACAACACTATGAAATGTGAAGTCAGTCACAAAAAAAGATTTGGAAAGCCCTCAAATACATGGAGGTTAAAGAAAATCCTACTAAAGAATGAATGGGTTAATCAGGAAATTAAAGAAGAAGTAAAAAAAAAAAAAAAATACATGGAAGCAAATGAAATTGAAAACATGACAGCCCAAATCCTTTGGAATGCAGCAAAGTCAGTGCTAAGAGGGAACTATATTGCCATTCAGGCTTACCAAGCTTCTTGAAGCTAGAAAGGTCCTAAATACACAATCCAACCTTACACCTAAAGGAGCTAGAAAAGGAACAGCAAATAAAGCCTGAAGTACAAAACATTGTAAGAGAATGCTATGAAAAATTATATGTAACAAACTGGGCAATCTGGAAGAAATAGACAAATTCCTATAAACTCACAAACTATCAAAACTGAAACAGAAGAAACAGAAATTCTGAGCAGACCCAAAACCCGCAAAGAAATTGAATCAGTGATCAAATATTTCCCAATAAACAAGAGTCCTGGGCCACATGGCCCAATTCTACCAAACATTTAAAGAAGAGTTAATACCTATTCTTCTCAAATTGTTCCAAAAAAGTAGATGTAAGAAAAACTTCCAAACTCATTCCACAAAGCCAGCATTACCTTGATTCCCTAACCAGACAAAGACCCCACTAAAAAGGAGAGTTATAGGCTAATAACCCTGATGAATCCAGATGCAAACATTCTCAACAAGGTACTAGCAAATTGAATTCAACAGTACATTAAAAGGATAATTCTTTTTTTTTTTTATTAATTTTTTTTTCAACGTTTATTTATTTTTGGGACAGAGAGAAACAGAGCGTGAACAGGGGAGGGGCAGAGAGAGAGGGAGACACAGAATCGGAAACAGGCTCCAGGCTCCGAGCCATCAGCCCAGAGCCCGACGCGGGGCTCGAACTCACGGAGCGCGAGATCATGACCTGGCTGAAGTCGGATGCTTAACCGACTGCACCACCCAGGCGCCCCAAAAGGATAATTCTTTTAATTCTTATCAAGTAGGATTTATTCTTGGGCTGCAGGGATGGTTCAATATTTCCAAATCAATCAATGTGATATACCACATTAATAAAAGAAAGGATAAGAACCATACGATCCTATCAATAGATGTAGAAAAAATCATTTGACAAAAGACAGCATCCATTCTTAATAAAAACCCTCAACAATGTAGGGATAGATGTAACATACCTCAACATGATAATGGGCATATACAAAAGACTCACAGCTAATTGCATTCTCAATGGGGAAAAACTGAGAGCCTTTCCCCTACAGTAGGGAACAAGACAGGGATGTCCACTCTCACCACTGTTATTTAACATACTACTGGAAGTCTTAGCCTCAGCAATCGGACAACAAAAAGAAATAAAGGAACAAATAATAAACAAATCAGCAAGGAAGAAATCAAACTTTCACTATTTGCAGATAACATGATATTCTATGTAGTATCCAAAAAATTGCTAGAATACATGAATTCAGCAAAGTTGTAGGATATAAAATCAATGTGCAGAAATCCATTGCATTTCTATACACAAATAACAAAGCAGCAGAAAAAGAAATTAAGTAATCAATCCCATTTGCAATTGCACCAAAAACAATAAGGCACCTAGGAATAAACTAAATAATCAGGTAAAAGGTCTGTACTCTGAAAACTATAGAACACATATGAAGGAAATTGAAGAGGACACAAATAAATGGACAAGCATTTCATGCCCATGTACTGGAAGAGCAAACATTGTTAAAACGCCTATGCTACCAAAAGCAATCTACACATTTCGTGCAATTTCTATGAAAATACCACCAGAATCTTTGGCAGAACTAGAACAAATGATTCTAAAATTTGTATGGAACCTTGAAAGAGCCGAATAGCCAAAGCAATCCTGAAAAAGAAAAACAAAACTGGAGGCATCACAATTCTGGATTTCAAGCATTACAAAGTTGTAGTTATCAAGACGGTATAGTATTGGCACGAAAACAGACACATAGATCAATGGAACAGAACAGAAAACCCAGACGTGGACCCGCAACTATATGGTCAACTAATCAACAAAACTGGAAAGAATATCCAATGAAAAAAAAGACAGTCTCTTTAACAAATGGTGTTGAGAAAACTGGATGGCAAAATGTGGAAGAATGAAACTGGACCACTTTCTTACATCATACATAAAAATAAATTCAAAATGGATGAAAGACTTAAATGTGAGACAGAAAACCATCAAAATCCTTGAGAAGGACAAGCAGCAACCTCTTTGAGCTCATCCATAGCAATTTCTTATCAGACACATCACCAAAGCCAAGAGAAACAAAAGCAAACATGAACTATTGGCACCTCATCAAGATAAAAAAAACCCTTCTGCACAGCAAAGAAAAATCAACAAAATTAAAAGGCCGTCTACAGAATGCAAGAAGACATCTGCAAGTGACATATTTGATACAGGGCCATTATCCAAAATCTATAAAGAACTTATCAAACTCAACACCCAAAAACCCAACAACCCAGTTAAGAAATGAACAGAAGACATGTATGGACACTTTTCTAAAGAAGAAATCCAGATAGCTCAACATCACTCATCATCAGGGAAATTCAAATCAAAACCATGAGTTACCACCTCATACCTGTCAGAATGGCTAAAATTCACAACACAAGAAACAAAACTATTACCCAAAGAATACAATATGGATTTGAAGCAGTACATGCACCCCAATGTTTATAGCAGCACTATCACCAATAGCCAAACTATTGAGAGAGCCCAAATGTCCATCCACTGATGAGTGGATAAAGATGTGGCATATATATATACATATGTATATATATATATATATATATGTATATATATATGTATATATATATGTATATATATATGTATATATATATATGTGTATATATATATATATACACACACACACACATACATACACACATACACACACAAAGTCGGACGCTTAACTGACTGAGCCACCCAGGCACCCCAGGAAACTCTTAGAGAACAAGGAGTGCCTGGGTGGTTCAGTTGATTAAGCTTCTGACTTTGGTTCAGGTCATGATCTCACAGTTCATGAGTTCAAGTCCTGCATCAGGCTCTCTGCTGTCAGCACAGAGCTCACTTGGAATCCTCTGTCCCCCTCTCTTTCTGCTCCTCCACCCCCCTCATTCTCTCTCTCTCTCTCTCAAAATAAATAAAATTAAAAAAAATAAGGAAACTGAAATCTCCATTAAAAAAAAGAGAGAGAGAACAAAATGAGGGTTGATGGAGGGAAGTCGGTGGGTAATGGACTAGATAGGTGATAGGTATTAAGGGGGCACTTGTTGGGATGAGCACTAGGTGTTGAATATAAGTGATGAATCATTAAATTCTACTCCTGAAACCAATATTGCACTGTATCTTAACTAAAATTTAAATAAATAAAATGAGTCTCTTGTAGGTAGCATATAGATAGGTGTTTTTTTTTAATCCATTCTGTCACATCTTTTGATTGTAATGTTTTGTCCATTTATATTCAAATTTATTATTGATAAGTATATCTTGCCATTTTATTACTTGTTTTCTGGCTGTTTCTGAAGATTTTCTCTGATTATCTCTTTCATGTTTTGCTGATTTTATTCAGTAATATATTTGAACTTCTTTCTCTTTATTCTCTGCATATATATTAGTGGCTTTTCATATATCGTTACCATTAGGTTTGTACATAATCTCTTCTGCATTTAATAATCTATATTTACTTGATGATTGTTTAAGTTTGAGCCCATTTTTTTCTCCTCTCCTCTCCACATTGTAAGTACATGTTGTTATATTTTATATCCTTTTCTTTATGAGTTCCTTGACTGATATTTTACAGAAGTATTCATTTTTACTGCATTTGTTTTTTACCTCTATACTGTCACATTTGGTCTCTCCTTTCCATTCAACGAGTCTCTCTTAATAATCCTTGCAAGCTGGTTTAGTGGTCACAAATTCATTTAGTTTTGTTTGTCTGGGAAACTCTTTATCCCTCCTTCTACTATGAATGATGACACTGGATAGAGTATTCTTGGCTGCAGATTTTTCTCATTCAGTACTTTGAATATATCATGCCACTTTCTGACTTGCAGAATTTCTGTTGAAAAATCTCCTGTCAGCCTTATGGGTTTTCCCTTCTGTTGTCTTGCTGCTTTTATCATTTTTTTTTCTGTATTACTGTATTTTGTAAAGTTAATTATAACATGTTTTAGTCTTCTTTTGTTGATTCTGTTAGGCATTCTTTGTGTGTCCTGGTCTGGATATCTGTTTTCTTCCCCAGATTAGGGAATTTTTCAGCTATCATTTCTTCAAATAAGCTTTCTGTGACACTTTGTTCTTCTGGGATTCCTATAATATGAATGTTATTGCACTTGATGGAGTCAGAGTTCTCTATTCTTGTTTTGCATAATTCTTTTCTCTCTTTTGTTCAGCATGATTCCTGTCCATTACTCTGTTGTTCAGGTCACTAATTTGTTCCTCTGCTTCTTTCATCCTGTTGTTCATTCTATCAAGTGTGTTTCTCATTTCACTTATTATGCCCTTATCTCTACTGTTATTCCTTATTCCTATCTTAATGGTCTCACTCATGTCTTCCACTCTTTTCTCAAGTCCAATGAGTATCCTTACAATCACTTTTTAAAATTTTCTATTAGACATGTTATTTATATCTGTTTTGCCTGGATCTCTGGTTTTGGTCTTGTCCTGTTCTTTCATTTGGCATAAATTTCTCTGTCTCTTCAATTTGTCTGCCGCTCTGTGTGTTTCTCTGTGTTAAGTCAACTGTATCTTCTGTTCTTGAGAGTAGTGACCTTATGAAAAAGAGTTCCCAGAGTGCCCTGGAGTGCAGTCTCCCCTGTTCACCAGAACCTGGCACTTCAGGAGAATATCCTATGTGTGTTGCTTATGCTCTGCCGCTGTGTCTAAATCACTTTTCCTTTCAGTGCAGTTGTCTGCACTGACTCTCTGCCTGTTGTGGGGTGTGCTTGCTGTGGGATTAATGGTACTCAGGCAGGTGAACTCAGTGGGGGTGGGAGGTATGCCTGCTGGGAACCTTGGGAGGGGGGCAATGGTGTTAGCAAAATTTGCGGTAGGCCACTAGTCCTATGCAGGATCCCCTGAAGCACTGCTGTGGCTGGGGATGCACAGCTGGGTGCGATGTGGCAGCTGGGCCTGGCACAGTGTCTGGGCTAGGCTAGAACTGTGTACCTGGTGGCTGGGCAAGGTAGGCAACTGCAGCAGGGGTATGCAACTGGGTGTGGTGTAAAATGGTGTCTGGTGGTGCCTGGCCTGGGGGCACATGGCCAGTTACACAGGCACAGCACACAATTGTGGCCAGCGTGCAGCTGGGTGAGACACATGAGGGTGGCTGGGGGCACACAGCTGGGCAAAGCATGGCAGGTATGTGTGACGTGTGGTGGCAGCTGTGTACCTAGCAGCTGGGCACCCACACAGCTTTAACAAAATTTTCCCGGGGCCCAGTGCACTGCTAACAGGTTATGTAGCAAGTGGCTATGCTACTCTGCCCCCCCCCCCCCACGTATTTCTGTGCTTCTACTGGGGAGTATGGGAAGAAAATGGGACTGCCAACTCTGTTTTCAAACTTGAAAACTCTGTTTTCAAGGTCCCCCAACAGACTCCAAAATCAGTATGAACAGATTCGTCTCCTGTTTGCTCATGGTGTTGCACAAACTGCCGTTTTTATGTCCCTTTCCATGCAGGCCACTAAGGGCAGCAACCCAGCTATCACTTGCCCTCCTGGCTTGCCTAGTGCTTCATCAGCTGACCTCCAAAGCTCCACGTTCCCAGACTCACTGGTTTTAAAAACTCACAGAATTCAGCCCATCTAATTTTTAAAGCCAAATGCTAGGGGATGCCTTCCCCATGTGAGTTCCCTGGTTAAAGGCCAGTTCCTCATCCTTTTTGTGTGTGCAGCTCCCTCCCTCCTGCAGGCAGCCTCTTTCTGCCTTTCTGACCATTCTAACCTTTCAGATGCAACTTCTCTATATTTACTTGTGGAGTTTGTTCTGACAGTCTTTGGATCACTCTCTGGTTTACTGACTTGGATGTGGATGGTATCTAGCTCAGAATGTGGGACGTGGTGAGTTCAGGGTCTTCCTACTCTGCCATCTTCCCAAGCTCCCTAATTACTGTATCAATATCATATGATGATGGCCCAATTATGTCTTTGCCTGTTTATGTTTCAGAAATTATGTAGGCAGATAGATATGATTCAGTTATCATTACTAGATATCCTCCTATCTTCCTAGATTTACTTCAATTTGCTAATTCTTTCCACCTTAAGGCACCAGTACTACCCAGACCCTCTTAACAAACTCCTCTCAAGAATTCCAACAGCCTACAATGTTCTGGTGGCCCTAGTCATACCCATTCCCCCAGACCTTCACAGAGGAGCTGAGGTGGGGTACCCTGGAACATGCCAAGCACCTTCCCTGGCTTTCATTAGTAGAGATATACCCATTTTTATAAAATTCTAAAAAGGTAAACAAATCTACAGTAACAAAAAGCAGATCAGTAGTTACCTGGGGCTTTAGCCAGAATAGGAATGGGCTATAGGAGGTCTCTTTTGGGGACGATGCAAATGTTCTGTATTTCAATTGTGGAGATGAATTCCTGCATGGAGTTTCCTATCAAAACTCACTCAATGGTATACTTTAAATAGATGTAGTTTGTACACCTATTTTATGACTCAATAAATGTGATTTTTAAAATGCA